AGAAGAAAAAGTTTATCTCTTAGTTTTACACTGTGAAGATGCTGTATCAATTAAAACTGCAAATTTACTTAAACCTATGTGCTTTTAGCCTATAGCAAATGAACTGAAATTAAATGCTGTCGAACACCATTGTCTCTATTTTGTAACTAATTCTTTATTTCATCACAGACTCTTGCCTAAAAAATTTTTATGCCTCTGAGTGAATCTTAGAAGCTCATATCCTATCATAATGATAACATTCCTTTTCATTTATAAAATGCTGATTATTCTTCCTATTGTTACTCATCTTTGTCTGACCCAATTATTTTGTTAATTTTATTTCTGAAATTTGTGTGACAACAGAATAACTTATTTTTACTATCATCTTCGGACTTAAAGTATATATGGTAGGTTATCAATAGAAATTGTTTTCACAAATTTATAATTACAAAAAAGATCCTCCAAAATATGGCATTTTGTTTTGTTTTTTACTCCTTCTCCCTCTCCCTATACAAATAACACAAATCTTTATATTAAACTATTATTTTGTTTTTATAATATTCGTATTATAGAATTGTTGTAGTTAAAAAATCTATTTTTTTTTTTTTTTTTTTTTTACAAAAATAGTCTCAAAGCTTACCTGTTATAATGAGTTTAACTATTTATTAATTTAAACATCCAATACAGCTACTTTTAGATTAGAAGTGACATTTTTTAACAAATCAGAACATTTTATGAGCTTCAATGTCTCTAAAATATTTGAGACATTGGTTTTATAATATAATTCCATCAAATATAATTTTATTTTAAAATGGTTTATTCTTTAAAAACAATGTTTCAATGGTTTGTTTATAGACACCATCATTTTTTTTTCATTGTAAATATAAATTATACTTAATCCAGAGTTGTTTCTGACAGCATTCATTTACTAAATTTATTTATTGGTGATAATAATGAGCATTTCATTTCCAATCGTTCAAACCAAAAATTAAAATGAAACCCTTGGTCTTAGATGATTAAGGTTTTTTGTAACATTGATATGCAACAACCTTATTGATATATAAAATTTTATTTTTATATATTAAATGGGTCATTTGAAAATTTTGGAAACATTTATATCACTAGACAATAGTAGATTCAAGTCACAACTGCAAGCATGTACATAATTTTTTCTTATGATTTCACCTTTTAGAGCCATACTTGTGTTTAATTGTTTAATATCAATGTGAATTATATTACTATGAAAAATGCTAATAATTATATTAATGTGAAATGCTAATATCTCATTCCTCAGTGAAGTTATCTAAAATTGTAAAGTTATTGTGAAGTATTTTTGTGTGGGCACAAAATCCAGGATTATAAAGAAAGGATATGATGGCTGTTTGAATATTAACAAGAGTAAAAAAAAAATATTGCAATTCACTGCAGGAGTATCACGTTGGTTGACCATCAATTCTTAGATGTTTTTTTAAAGTCAAGTTAAACTGAATGAAAAAGAAAATTTTGTTAAGCTTCGGGAAGGAAGAGAACACCCCTGCCCTAGTGAGTTATTTTCTATAATAAAAATAAGTCAATTTTTGACTCACTTTGTACATTGAATGAAGTTTCATATTAGTTTGATGCAAATATTTTGAATTTACTCTTTACCAAAAGCAGGGTAAACTTTGGAGCCCATGAAAGGCTGAATCCTTACTCCCTGGATTCTCACTCCTTAGAAAACAGTTTCATCTAATACATAAATCTGAGACCATGGACTTCATGACCTGGATGATGTAATATGGATTGACCTAGGGAAACTAATTCGTTTATAGAGGAATTGGAAGTTATTTTTTTATCGTAAAACAGTATTTTCATTCAAGTAAAGGTGAGATAAGAATTCTTCCCAGGGTCTTATGTTATGGATTATGACATTACAAAGAAGAAACGCCTTGACGAAAAGAAGTATGGGACTTAAATCATCCTGTAGTATAATTACCGAAGACGATCTTGCTCTCCTGAAGATAAATAAACATAGGAATGTCGGAAGTAGCACAGCTACCTACAACCTACTGGCCTTGTGAAGACGGAAACTTGTCGGTGGTGACGTCCTGGAAGACTGAAGACAGAAGATATAAGGAAATCATGGTCAACACATATAACGGCTAGGACAAAAAAGAGACCGATTTTGTTGCACACATTTGGAAGTTCTAAAAACAGGATACAGAGAGAGGTAATAATCCCAATACATAATAAATAAACAACAATATTTAATTTATATCCATTTATAAAACAAAATGGATAAGGAATAGTATAGTGATTTCTTTGTTAGCATGCCCTATTCTTTCTTTTTGTCATTCCCTCTTATATTAATTCCTCTGGACATCTGAGATGAAATTCTATAAAAAACAATTAAAATATTCTAATCGCAGGTTCTTAGGATTCTTTTGAAACAAGTTTTAATAAAAAAAAAATATTTAAAAAACGTAAATACGGCATGAGCCTTGTTTGGTAGGAAGTAGGTCAAGGACAACTTCTTGTGGTAGCTAGAGCTAGATCCTTAACACTTCAAGAAGTGGCAGAAGCGGTTAACAATCTGGAACATAAACTATGGAAGTATTTAATTCTTAATTTGGGAAGATGAAATTCCCAGATAATGGATCTAATTGAACTGCTTAATTATTTTTTTTTTTTTATATGTTCATTAGGTTCTTACGTATTAAGAAGCATTTAGTATGATTTATGTTAGTGAGTATTAAAATTTTATGAAGTTGGCTGACTTCATGTCTCAGAGATCGAGTGAGAAAATCATAATAAAAACTATGGATTCCAGATATAATGATAATTCCTAATGTCTCCATTTATTTTTTAAAAAAAATCTCAATTCATTGATTTTATTGTTTCCCTTGACTTCAGTTGCATTTAGAGATCTATCAGATCAAGGTATATATGCCAAATTCCAGATATTAATTTTTAAATTTCGATTTTTAAAAATTATTTTCTTTTAGATCAAGAGTGTACAGTTCTGATATACGGCAGCAAGATCTGGATTGTAACCAGCATCCTAGAAAGAAGAGTTGAAAGATTTGAGAGAAAATTCGTAGGCACTATAACCGAAGCGATTTGGAATCATAATACTAACGTTTGGAGAAGATTTTAAAAAAATCTCAGAATTGGGGCGTTTTCAATCTGGTGATCGGCAAACCTTGTCCATTTAACAAGGTAATAAAAATCCATGAACACCCGTTTGCTTTACACTCGAATCGTAAGATGATCACAAAACGGAAAACAAAATGCGGCCTATAAAAATATTGGTCCGTTTGGCGTGACCTCCAACCCGAAAATGGTAAAATAACGAGGTTATAGAGGCCAAATGTCTTATAACAATAAAAACTTTATTGATTAGACCTTTCCATCTGGTTTATGGCCTTCTGCGTGGTCTCTTGCCAACTATTTTGGCATTTATTGTTGTACAGAGGCTTCCACTCCAAGCTACATAATCTGCCCAAATTAACCTCCTTGTCTCCATATCGAGAGATATTGATTGATTAGTTTTTGTAAGTAGATCTTTATTGGTTCTTCTCCATGTGTTAATATTCTGATTTCAGATAGCGCCGGCCATCATCTGGAGTGTTTTTCTGTCAAATCGTCCGCGGTACAGACCCCTTTTTACCGATTAATTAACATCCACCGAAAGATTTGTGAATGGCTTCATCTTATCATAACCTAAAAATATTTTATCTTAGAAAATTCTCCAAACTGTCCTTTTTCTTGTTAAATTAATTAATGTATATATATTTTTCTTTTATGCCAGTCGTTGGTCATTTGGCCATCCGACATCTTGCTGCCCAGTAAGATTTGTGAATGGCTTCATCTTATCATAACCTAAAAATATTTTATCTTAGAAAATTCTCAAAACTGTCCTTTTTCTCGTTAAATTAATTAATGTGTATATATTTTTCTCTTATGCCAGTCGTTGGTCATTTGGCCATCCGACATCTTGCTGCCCAGTATAATTTAGACTTTCTAATATATATATTTAAAAATATTTTTTCTCTTATATCCCTCAAGGCAGGACATTCTTCTAGATGGTCTGCATCCATTGTTCCTTGATGACACAATTTACGCTAGGATCCTCAGCCACCCCTATCTGGTAGAGAAGACTCTGCAGATAGTCGTGACCAGTGGCCAGGCGGAAGCAGGCAACTGCATCTCTTCTCGGCAGCTCAGCTGGAATCGGATTATCCTTCAATCACTCATAACTTTTCCCTTCCACTTTTCTCAAATGTGCTTTTCTTATTTCTTCCTTCACTACAATATTTACCATTCGCCGTATTGAGTCGTAAGGTTTTGGGTGTATCGGCTGAGGCAAATCTGTTCCTCACTTGGCAAGAATATCAGCCTCAACGTTTCCCGGAACCCCACAATGGCTAGGGATCCACTGTAGGAACACATTGGTGCCTCGGTGTATCAGGTTAGAGAGGAGGGATTTGCATTCCAATATAGCACTTGATAAACATTCAATTAATTAATATAATGGGATACTAAAAATTCATTTTCTTTTCACTTGAATCGTAAGATTACTTGATCACAAAATCGAGAAGAAAGGTGGCCTAAAAAAATATTGGGCCGTTTGGCCTGTATAATTTTGTTATTTTGACATGTTGAGGGTGAACGGCCTAATATTGTTTTTCAGACCACCTTTTTTTCTCGATTTTGTGACTGAACAGTCTTTCGATTCAAGTGAAAAGCAAACATGTTTTAATGTATTTTTAATACTTCATTAAAAACACAAAGTTTACCATCTATATATTGAAAACAATCCATTTCCGAAAATGTTCGTAAATAAAAGCGTTATAGGTTACGATAAGATGAAATCATTCACCAAGTTTTAGATGTTGATAATTTATTTAAAAGGGATATGTACCGGAGGGTATATATTTAATATATTTTCCATAATGACGCCCTTATAGCAATGGTACCGGAGGAAGACTCAAATACCGGTAGAAAGGGAACGGCCCGGAGGAGGTAGGGGAAGGGGAGGACTCACCGCTATCCAGCAGTGGGCCAGTCGGCGATGTTACTCCTCGCTGGGCTGTTGCTTTCCGCGCCGGCCGCTCTGGCCTGCGGCGGCAGCTTCTTCGGCTGCTTCAAGAGCGACCTCCTCCAGGCCTTCTCCAAGATCGCTGCCTCCGACAGCTACGTCCTTGTCCCGGGCCTCTCCTTCGACAGGAAGAAGGATGTCCCGAGGAGTCTCCAGGCCTTCCCAGTCGGTGCGGGCGATGTCAGTGTCGTCGACGTCTACCGCAACGCCGAGCGGCTCTTCAAGAGTCATTCCCTTTTCTGGAACGTCCTCCCAGGTGTGGACATCAGTGTGTCCGAAGGGAAGGATGGCAACTTCGTCTTGGGAGTAGAAAGGTGCCACCACGAATCAGGTAATAATGATTCTCATATTGTGATAGGTCAATTTATGATTTTATTTATTTATTGAAAAACCATACCACAGGGAGAACTCTCGCATAACATAACTATTTTTCACCCTAACGCATGCGACGTATACGCAATATCGGTTAAACAATTTCATTCGTATATTTATTGGTAAAGCTTTATAGTTTAGCATGACTGTTAAACTAACAATTTATTAAATAAGTTATTAGCTTGTTCCACAGGCAGATCTACAGGAGGGAATCTGTCGGGCTGAAACCAAATCCTCCCCCTCCCTCCCCAAAAAAATATTAAATATAACTAAGCCTTATAAAAGAAATATAAAAAAATATCTCTAAAAGTATTGTTCATATAATTACATTTAATATATAATAACTCCTGCGAGGATTAAAAGCCCTAACTTACACATATTGCCAAGTACGCAGAACAGTGAAGCATATACTGTTTAGTGTACTACTGAGTGTAGTAGGTACACTGCTCTAAGAAAAATCTACAAATGGGAACGGAAATGAAAAAAAAATTGCATGATGAGGAAAATTTGCATTCAATGAAATTTTGTTTGATATCTAATTTATCTCTTACATCACTCCTGAGATCAGTACTACCGCATTGCATATCGTGCCATTTAATACGATTACAAAAATACAAGTAAATATGGAATCTGATGTACATGTATGAAACAACAATGACTAGTGAAGGAACCTTGTAACATTCCATAAGTTCCAAAACCATGTTTTTATATGGCGTTTTAAGTAACATCAGGAACCGGATTATTGGAAGCCTAAGAAGTTTATATAAATTAATTGGTTTTAGTTGAAAATGGGTTCATAATGTAAACGAAGTATATTTTTTGGACTAATTCTGAATGTTATGGCCAGAAACTTGGGAAGATAATTTATTTGAGTACAAGATAATGTATTTCCATAAGTGTGATGTTGCTGTTACATAGCAGCCCACAGGTGCATTTGTAAGGAATTTATAATTATTCTTCTAGTGCTCTTCTCACAGTAAGCTGTTCCTTTGCTTTCAGCCTTGTCCGTTTGTAAGTATATTGATTATTGTCATCGTTTATATGGCAAGATATAGACAATTACTCATATTTTAGAAGAGTACGCATTCTGGTTCAGAAGATTAGAAATATATCAAATATTACTCAATGTATGAGCCTGTCGGGAAAAAAAAGTGGATATAGTCATAAATTTCTTTTACAAAGAAAACCTAATAAAATATATTTAACTAATCTATAGCAAATTCGGTCTTCTGCCGATATTTATCACTATTGATTTCTTTTACTTTCTTAGGTATAATTTTTTTTCTCTCTTCTGTATAATATTATTTATTTAATATGTTCAACGTTTAGGGCTTTTGCCAGAGATAATTTTATAAAATAATTGATGTTGTTCCAACACCACTTAAATTGTTCCTAAAATAAATAACATTACACGGAAGAGGGAAAAAAAAATCATATAATTATACCTATAAACCATTAAACTCCCCTTTAAGAAACAATTGAAGTGAACAGTGGTATCTGAAGAAAATATTTAGATATGGACTTGGAAGGACATATAAGAAGAATGAAAGAGTAACTTGAAACAATTTAAGTGGATTGTTGGAACATCAATTATTTTGAGAATTGTCTCTGAAGATGGGCAAAGAGTCCGGCACGTTAAACATACGAAATAAATAACATTTATCCATACAGAACAGAAAAAAGTCATATAATTATACCTTCCCTAAGAAACTATTGAAATATCGAGTAGTATATAAAGAATTTATTAAAGAAAAATTTCTAATCAATTTTTGTCTCTATAAATGATTTACCTATACATGTTTCTATATATAGCTATAATTCAATTATTTTATTTTATTTTATTCTTCCAATCTCTTTAATTCTCTTCTTAATATTATTTATTTTTCTTATCCAGTTATCAAGTTATTAGATTTATCTTATCATTATTTCAAAATAACTAACTAGCTGCAATTATGTATAATTTTAATTATACATAATTTAATTTTGAAAATAAGAATAGAATATTTTACGAAGGATTTTGAACTAGAGGGTTTGAATTGGAAGAATTTGATGGCTTAGTGAATCGATGACTCAGCTGTCACGTTCAAACAGGCTTGTTTAGTAATGCAAATAAGCTTTTTGTGACAAACTAGATGTTTTTTTTATTTTATTTTTTATTTATTTATATGATATTTACAGCTGTATACAAAAAATACATCTGGTAAATTCGCACATGGACGTAATGACATGAAACACATGTTGAGAAACTACCCATTGGTAGCACTTTAATAATATTAGAGTCTATATTAGGAGATCACGTGGCCATCTTCTTTTCGGACGCTTCGGAGGGTTATCAGGAATTGAATGGGAAGCAAGGTTAGAAACAAGAGGGTTGGGATGGTTATGAAGTTTATTATGGAAGGACAGATATCTGGATTGGGCCAAATCTGATACATATGATGTTTTAAGTTCTTCTCTTGTTAATATTACCTATTAAGCTGTGATCAATGAAAAGGAGATATGATTGACTAATATAAAAATGTCTCATGATGTTTGGTTAGAAGCGAAGAAAATAAAGTACAAAATAAATGGGCTTATTCTTTATTTTGTCATTTTGTATGTTTTAACAAACATACTACAGTATAGCTCTCTTCTATATCTGTACCCCGATGCAAAGAATACCGTGTCAATTTTTTATATTTGTTCAGGAAAGACAATGGTCCATAACTTTGACCTATAAAAACGTGTTTCTTAGATACTACGTTATTTAAAACATAAAATGAACATGGTGCCCTTTACCTCTGAAGCATAGATATATAGTGTTTTAGTTTATCCGGTACTGGATTGATAATGTATAATATCAAAATGCTTACCGTTTTTTTTTTAAACATAATTATACATCTTCATTTCTAACTCTATATTTTCACCATTAGTTAGGACGAAAATAATGAATTTTAAAAATATTATAATTATATAAAACGGTGATGGAATTTGGGTTTTTCCATCCCAGGTTGGGTTTTTGTTTTTTTTTCTTGACCCAAAAAATGAGTTATTGAAATTTTTATAATCTAACTTTGTGGAATGGAATCCTTCGTGCCCAATGGTCCATTGAAAGGGAATTTCGTTGTTGAAATTTTCGAAAATTTCATTTTTTTGAAAATTAAATTATTTTAACTTCACTCTGAAGAAATGTTTAGATATTGAACCTTGCCTTGTACTAATACAGATTTTTTTCACGAAGATTTTTAATAAAGACAAATTTTATTTTTTTAAAAAGTTTCCTTTCAAATTATTTCTCTGACGCCCATGTGACCTGGTGGAGTCTGAAGGAGAAAAGTTAACTAAGTCCTTTGTGTAGAGACTTCGAACTTTCTAGTTACTCCCTTAATTATATTATTATTAAAAAAAAAAAGTCTATAGAGCCACTGTATGTTTTATTATTTGCCTCTGTACAACTCATATTAAAAAAAAATCAACAATATTCATATTTTTTAGATTGCCTTATACCAAAATAAAATTACTAATTTACGAAAAAATTCTTTTATTTTATTTTTTTACGAAAAAAATACGTTTATCTGTTATACACACGCCGCAGAGTTTTTTCCTGAGACTACTGGATTTATTGTTTTCGGATTTTTCACAAAAGACATAGGTCATTCCAGCTACCGTATGATTTTCGAAAATCGGCATAAACGTCCCACATTTTTTTTTTTATCAGACTTAAATTCTTTCTCTGAACATTCATCTTAACTATTACTTCCTTGGATCCGATGCTTGAAGATTGTTTAAATCATTCTCGTATAAACTATTATTATCGTTTTGTTGCTCAAATAGTCTAATATATCTTTTTTTGGCATATACAGATCTGATCTAAACAAAAAATTATAATATAGTGAGAATATCATCCATGAAAAAAGTGTTCGATACGTTTTCTAAGTTATTTAGTTCCCATAATTTGTAAAACAAGCGTTTGAACTGGTTGTTCTCTCTGTACTCTATCAATCACTAGAAATTCACAATAAAGACCGTTGATATTACAGACACTACCCACAAAGGAACATCTTTTATGTCTTGAGAACACTACATAAATTATTTTAGTATCCATTATAAATTTCTTAAATCTTTATATATATATATATATTACATGGCTTTTCACGGTAAATTCATTCTAGTATTGTTGATTAAATGTAAGATTTTAGTACAAGAATGAAGAAAAGAAACTGCTATTAGATTCTGATCACTACAACATTAACTTGACATACGCTCTAAACTTCCAATATTCTACAAAAAAGACTCATTTACACAACTGCCATCATACAGCCCATTGGAACACATGGAATTTAATTTTGGGGCACCAAACAATCAACATCCAATCTTCACCATCTTAAATCCTCTATAGAATCCTTAATGCTCCTTATTATGTCAAAAATAAAATTATCTATAAAGACCTCAATATTCCTTTAGTTGCAGATATGGTCTGAATTAGATATTCCTCTTTTGATTCCAAATCCCTTGGTCACCATAACTCACTAATTCATAAACTAACATCCAAATCAGTTCCTGACAACCCTCCGCGGAATTACCATTGTACAGCTGCCAATCAATATGTAGTTTTTTCACTAGCTCCTATTACGTTTTATTTTCTTACAGTAGATTTACTTGTTGTATTTTATCTATGTAGTAGTGAATTTCAATAAAGGAATAAAATAAAAAACATAAGCTTAAATACACAAAAATAATTTTAAGCTGTTAAGTTATGATTTTAGCTGTTAAATTGTACGAACTGATTAAGTTCAATTTTTATATTGAATAAATCAACTATTTTTTTATATGCTGTTATTATAGTTAATATCAGACAACATATCACTACTATTAGTGCAAAAGGACATATGTAACAGTTTTACATGGTTATTCTCTGTACGCTATAGGTGACATTTTGCAGTCTGCAACTACTGTAAGTAATCTGCTGAATAGGAAAATAGCAGAGGGAAATAAAATATGAAATTATACTAATAAATCATAATGAAATAATAAATTTTTCTTTTCTGTAGAAAAACTCAATATTTACACTCGATCTTTTATTATAGTAACAGTAGCGATATGCTGAAACAAATTAACATATCATAATTAGGTATACCCAGTTAAAACAAAATAAAATTTCCATCGAGTAAAACAAGATCGAATCTTTTTTTCCGAAAGGTAGCTTCTCAAAATGTACAACTATATCAACAGTTACTACAGGAATGGATATTTGACAAGTCACCTTACTACTGCTTAAATAGATCTCAAATAATTACCTATCGGCTAGGCAGTCCACAAAGAAAAAAAAAAACACCATTTGCAACTTGTTTCTTCAATTACTTGATTCGTAATGCGTTTTTTAACACTAAGAGAAAAGATCTTAGAAAAAAGAAATTTCCATAATTGACTTGTGACAATGGTAATGGGAAGTTTCTCCTACACAATGGCTATCATGAGCTAATTTTCACAGTCCCCTTGTGCCGCATCGGTTTGATAAGTTGGCCCATGACGTTCGAAAACCGAATGTCACAATTCTCTCTCGCAATAATTTTTCATTAAATTTTATTCCAATCAACTAGACTGAGCAATTATAGTTTTGAAAAATGAAAATTATATATTTTTTGTTAACTCTATTACTTTTTTTTTACTTCAAATATTTATCCGTACCTATCATCAAAATAACTATCAGCAGATTTGTTGTGTTAAATCTATTACTATCAATCATTATTTTTTTGTTAATGTGAGATTGGGAGTGGGTAAACTTTCTATGAGCATAAATACACTACATAAATTAAATACTTTGCATAAATTAAAAAATCATCAAAACATTATGCTTCTAGACTCATAAGAAATTAAGAAAATAGTTAAAATATTCTTATTCGTTAACCTTTAGGTCTCTACTATGCCTATCCCCTGTAAAATATTAGGACTAACTCTTCTTCTGAAATATTTCAGATATTAGATGTTGTTTTGTATAGGATTACGATCCGGTGATCTGAAACTCGGAATTTATGTTCCGTTTCAGAAACAGCAGTCATCAAGTTATTACAATTTTTTTTGTTACGTTTAGCTCCTATAAAATGGATCAACAATTTCTGCAATTCCGTTTATATAATCAATATGAATCGTACTATTGTTCAGTCTATTTCACACAGAAATGTATAAAAATAATGTATAAACGAAGATGCAATGAATCGAAAACTATTATTAATAAGAGCAGTGTCAGCTAAAATGTTTTTTCAAGATCAGATTTAACATAGAAATTTTTAATTGCTATGAAATAAGTATGTAAATGTTGCTTTATAAATCTATTACTGTTAATACGTTTTTTTATTGAAATGTTTACGTACTGTGCGGGTTAGAATATAGATAGTCCAGAATAGATTACATCCACTATTTTTACTTAGGCATACGCGAATGTTAGTGAAACAAGTTTACTTTATTAATTTGATCGAATTTCGTCGACTGCTTTCTCTTAGTTATTTTCCTTGATAAATAATCTCCATAAACTTGAGCGCATATATTTCAAAAGCTGCTCGTTTCATTTAGCCTAAGTTGGAAATAAATATTGATTGGTCAAAAAGTAATCAAGTAGTTTTCATTTTTATAGAATTCCATCCACTGCTTTCGTTTACGGTTGTGGAAGTGTATTTCATTGATACTCATATATTTCAAAAACGTTTGGTTGAGTTCTGCCCTTTGTTAGAAGAAAGTAAGGGATTTATAAATAAATGACCCAGGATCAATTTCAAGCAAATGGAATGAGAGGTCGTATACGTTTTAAAACATAATGCTATTTGCAAGTCGGTTTTTATTAGAATAAAAAAAAAAAATTCACCTAGGCTAGAGCCTTCCTCCTGATTTTTTTTTTCCCGAAAATCATAAAATTTGTGATAACTTCTACTTGGCTTCATAATCCTTACAAAAATTGGCATGAATTTATGGTCCTATAATATACAAAAAATGGTAATAACCAGGGGCCTGCAAATAAATTGGGCTTGTGATAAAAAATAAAAAAGTTTAGGGGGTTTCTTTGATTTATTCCTTATAATGGAGTAAAATCTAAAAGTTTCTGATATTGTTTTGAATAGAAATAATTTATCTTTCCAACGGTTGTAGTAACGTTGACTTCAGAGGAATTCCTGAGGTTTATAGAATATTATAATATATGGCATGAAAAAAAATCCTTCCATAAGATTAAGTCAAAAAAATTGTATGTTTTGATTTCAAAATAAAATTAACTTAAAATTTAACAGTTTTAGTAGATCATGAAAGGAATCTGAATTGTTTTTTCATAACAAAAATTGACTTAGCCTACTTTACTGGAAGCGTCTATGAGTTTTCATTTATTTTATTATATACAAGAAATCGTTTAATACAATTAGCAATATGTTTTTCTTATTTTACACAAAAAAAGCAAATCTATTGATGTAAAACAATGTACAAGAACGTATACATCCATTTAGAGCAAATTTAGAAAACAGTATTACAAAAAAATAATAAAATTATATAAAATATTTTTTAATAACCCACGGACATAGGTATAATATTTGTTTACCTAGTTTTACCAAAACAAGTTTCATTGAAATCAGTGACCACTCTTTCTCAGTACAATAACAAACATTATCAACCCTATGTTATTACAATTATTTTTCCTGTTTATGCTAAATTACAAATATTACAACAATCTTAAGAATAATTTACAAATCATATCTGGTAGAAATGAAACAGTTAAAACAATACCAATTATTAACATTGATATATAATTTAAAGTTGTCAACAAAAAACACACACAATAACAATAAATTCATTTTTATTAAATTGTGGATTGATGGTTAACTTTGGTGAATAATTGAAGAGAAGAAAAAATGTCAGCCTACGTTTCGGCCCGAAGTTCAGTATTACATCAGGGCTAAGAAAACCTTATTTAAGGTCTGCACTTTGGGCCGAAACGTCGGCAAAATAAAAACAAATATACTTATTTATTTTACTTTTTTTTTTTTTTTTTTACTGATCATCCCAACCAATCTTCTCATTGTCTTATTTTTTAAATATTAATATTAAACCATGTTTTAAAAATAGTCTAAAAGACTATTCGTATTAATTAGAAGGTGTAAGGTATAGATATGGTATTCCAATGCCATAGTATTCATGGTATAGATATGGTATTCATTCCAATATAAATGTAATTATTTTTATTTTAAGTTTATATCAATACGAAAATATTTGTGTATATTTCCATGAATAAACGAATAATTATGTAATTAAACCACATTTAATTAAACCCACATATTTTTAAATATTACGGAAAACGATTTAAACCTTTGATAAAAATTTTCAGAGAAAAAAGGAAGACATTATTTTAGTATTAAGAATTATGTAATTAAACTACCTTATATAATTTTAAATATTACAAAAAAGAATTTGTAACTTTGATGAAGGTTTTCTGAGAGAAAAGGAAGACATTAAAGGAACAAATAAGGTTTGCAAACGATGTTAATTTAAAACCCCTGATCGAAATGATGTACCCCCTATGATGTAGATCCGGCTATCGGGATGCTATTGATCAATTGTAAGGTCCTCCGAGTCGAGATTGCCTTCCTGAACCATGGGCTGCCCCCATTGTCGGGGGCATATCTACGCCACTCTATTATCTTCCTTTCTTTGAAATAATGGAGAAAGCTGGACCGGCTTCACCCCCGTGTCTTGCTCCTTTGTGTCCAACGAAACTGTTCAGCGACATCCCAGTTCCGGCTACCGCGCCAGTCCGGATTCGTTTAGAGTGGAAGGAAATCGCGGAATTCACTTTTACTGGAAACGGAATATCGACACACGTTTTCTAGCACCTCCCGCGGAGAAATGATTCATAGTATAATGGAAATCGTTTATGAGACATCACCACAGAAACGCACATTCACTGAACCCTGGAACTTCAAACGGAAAAAAAACTTATATTTTTAAAAAATATTTATTTAAAACTTCTTTCGATCGCGTTGAAATGTCTTATCTAAAAAATTACTTGTATTCATATCTACTCAAATGAACGCCCCTGTTAAGTCCATGGCACAGACCCCTTTTTATCGAATTATCAACACCAGCCTGAAACTATGTAAATCTTTATCTCATCGTGATCTACAACTATTTTATTTACGAAAACTCTTGGAATTGGGGCGTTTTCAATTTGCATGGGGGTAAACTTTTTTTATTTAAATAGGAACTTAAAACTCGTAAATACCCATTTGCTTTCTACTTGGATCGTAAGATAATTTGATAAAAAATTCGATAAAAAATGTAGCCTACAAAAATATTGGGCCGTGACGAGTATATATTGGACAAACGGCTCATTATTTTTGAAGGCAACATTTTTTATCGATTTTTTGATCAAATTATCTTACGATCCAAGTTGAAAGCAAATGGGTATTTATGAGTTTTTAGTACCCAATTAAATAGACAAAAATTCGGCCCCCTCCAGACAGAAAACGTCCCAATTACAAGAGTTTTCGTAAATAAAGTAGTTGTATGAGATGAAACTATTTACAAAGTTTCAGGCGGACGTTAATAATTCGATAAAAAGGTGTCTGTACCACGGACTAATCAGTATCATGTGTAATTCATTTAAGACGAACTACAACTCTAATCTAAGCTCAAATACTGTTTATTTTTTATTTAACGGACTTTTTTTTTAAGAACTTGAAAAAATAAATGTTAAGCGTTTACCATAAATCTGGAATTTACATTACAAAAAAGTTCCTCAGAACTTTCATTGTAAAATACCTTTTTTTACATTAAACTTTAATAAAAGTTTCAACTCCTGATTAAATCTATTAATTATAGGAGTACATCTTGACAAACCTCTAACTTGGAATCCTCATAGAAGACTGAAACGACTAGAAACAGTTCTTGAATTCCGATTGATGCACTTGACGAACCCTATAAATATAAACTTCAAATATTCTGCAAAAACTCAAATACATTACCTTCATCATGCCCATTTGAATATATGTAATTAAGCTTTGGGATGCTTTTCCAAAAATCATGAAATTCTTGCCGTATCTCATCATTATAATCTAAAATCATGGATATACTGTCACAAATAAAGTTATTCATAAAAAGCTCAATATTTCCTTTGTACATATCAAATTTGGCCTGGATTATATATTTTTCTTTTTATTCCAAAATAGAAGGTCATTCTATTTCATTCAAAACAATTCCTGGCAACCCTCCGAGGCTTATGAAAAAAAATGACCATGGAATATTATTGAGGGGGGCACTTTTTGACGGGGGTTTCAATTTTTGAGGGGAGCACATGAACACGGAGTCATGAACTTTTTTAGTATATATTTTTTAATTTCTTTATTCATGATATTTACAACTGTATTAATAAATAAAATACATTAAGTAAATTTGATAACAGAAAATAATAACTTGAAATCACTTGTTGAGAAACTACCCATTAGTAGCATTCCAAAAACAAAATGTATTTACAATAACAGATCTCGAGGCCATCTTGTTTTCAGACGCCTCGGAGGGTTATCAGGAATAGAAGAGGAAGCAAGGTTAGAGACGAGGGGATTCGGATGGTTCTGAAATTTATTATGGAAGGATTGGTATCTGGATCGGGCCAAATCGGAAACATAAGGAACATTAATGTCATTATGGATTATTTAATTGGTGACAAAGTAAGGAGCATTGAGGATTTTCCGAAGGATTTTGGATTGTAAGGATTGGATACGAGAGGAATTCGATGGCTTAGTGGAGCCCCAGAGCTCAACTCCGTAAGTCCAAATAGATCTTATTCTAGTCATATATATGAGTCTTTTGTAATTAACTGAAAGCTTAGAGCGTTTGTCTAGTAAGTGTTGGAGTAGTCGGAAACGTCGAGCGATTTCTTGTCGTTTCAGTCTGGTATGAGTATTCCAAGTTAGAAGTTTGTCCAAGTGAAGTCCAAGGTATCGGATTTGTTCAACAGGGATAAGTGGGGTATTAATAAATGATACTGTATGAATTTTTAAAATGAAAAGTTTCAAAAGACAAGTGGAATCATGGAACAGGCCACAGGATGCGTGATGGTATTTAATCTACGAATATTCAGATTCTATTTTCGTTTCCACTGTTTTTAAGAAGAAGAAGGAAAATATATATCTTGGGAGGAGTGGGGGAAAGTTTGTGCGCCATCGGCCTTGAGGGGGATGGGCACCCCTGGTATGCACCAATAGGTAGCTTCTTCACAAGCTCAAGTTTTATTTTCTTATAACAAATTTACTTGTTTCATTTATTTATATAGAGCTAATATGAATGAATAAACAAAAATTTATTCCAATCTGTTCGTAAAGTTGACCGCATTGGGTAGTTGAATCTGAAAAACAACGTAATTTTGAAAAATTTCTACAGTCCAGTTTTTCTACATACGCAGGCTTATGTGCGGTAAACACTCATTATTCGGTTACCCTATCTCAATGAATCCTTTTATCTTGTATAGATACATTCCATCTTCCGGTATAAGATAGAATTGCTCAAGTTAAGAGTTAAGCCGTGGATACACGAGAGCAACTATAACAGCTCGGGTTTGTAATACCGGAGAAAAAGAAGATACCATTCACATCATGAGGGCCTGCCATATCTTTAGCGAGATCAGAGAAAAATATTTTAATTGGCAAACCGGTTCTCTTGAAGAAATATTTAGTTTACTGAAAGCTGCCGACAAGAAAGCCCTAAGTAATTTTATGCAGCAAGCCAAATTGCAAAGAGTTTAACCGATGTGGCGATTTCTCGTTAAATTAATTAATTTTATGAGGTACTAAAAGCCCATAAACGTCCCCTCCCCCTTTCCTTTCCAAGTGAATTGTAAGTTAATTTGATCACAATATCGTAAAAAACGTGACCTACAAAAAAATATTAGTCCCTTTGGCCTATATAATCTAGTTAATTTAACATGCACCAAATATTTTTGTAGGCCACATTTTTTTTCGATTTTGTGATCAAATTAAATTACGATTCTCGTGGAAAGCAAATGGGTATGTATGAGTTTTTGGAACTGAATTACATAGATAAAGTTTACAGATCTCCAGATTGAAAACGCACCATTATTCAGAAGTTCCGAAAATAAAAAAAGTTGTTGGTTGTTACGAGGTAAAGTTAATCACGAAGTTTTAGGCAGATGTTAATAATTTAATAAATAGAGGTATATAGGTATATACAGCTATTCAGATAACCTGGAAGTTAATTCCAGTCCTGAAGTTCTTTTCTTCACTTTTCCACGGCCGAATCACATTCCGTTTGTCAATTGGCTGTTTATGGTGTACAAACTGTTTGTTAAACATTTGATCAGACGTAGAAATATACTTAAATATAATAGACATAAAACTACTCAAGACGGATCTGTGGTTCAGTACTTGATAAGAAAATACTATTTTATTATTTAACGGTTATACAGGAAGTTAATGTAGTCATCTACCTCACTCAACCGTTAGGTTTTATAATCAACGAATTTATTATACTTATTGAATTTAATGATCTTTAAATAGTTCACGAATGAAACATGTCCAAAAAGTCTTAGATGGTTCAAACTGTGACTAAATTGAACCGCGTCTAATAAATAACGCTTAATTTTTCAGTACAATTTTTTTTCATGAATCGAATCCTTAGATTAATATGATGTAATGAGGAATATTGACAACAAAATGATTAAATCTCGATCTTTCGGGTGCAGTCTTATAGCAGTGTTTTTATTGTAATAAATCTCACATTGATCGGAATCTAGTGAATGTTTCTGAATTGGTGAAAGTAGTTTGAGTATATGTTTGATCTTCTGATGGATGACTGTTCCCAATATAAATCACTCTTCAAAAGGAATTTGTCATTGTCGAATATTTGCCGTCCATATATAGGACGAACCAATTGTCCCATCGTTTCCTCATTTGGGTCCACATAAAATATTTTGAAATTTTGGTTAATATTAATATTGCAATTACACGTTATAATTAATTCGATAACTCTTGGTTCTTAATAGAACTAATTTATTCAAATTTACAATTTTTTACAGAATTATATATATTTTCTTATTCTTACTAAAAAAAAAAAAGAATTTTCTTATTCTTACTACAGTCCATGGGTCTTGAGTTCAATACTTTGTAAGGAAGTACTGATTCTTGATCAACAATTGTACAACGAAGTGATTTGGCCAAGATCACGCTCAACCTCAATGTTTCTTGGTGTGGGGATATATGGCGGCTTCTGGTGTAGGGAATCTTCACAATATTGTGGAAATCACCTGGTATAGCGAATAGACATTTTGAGAAGAAACTTTTTAAAAAAATTGTACAAAATTTGGGCTAAGAAACAAATTTTGTTTTTATCAGGATAATTACCCCCAAACACTCTGCAATATTATTTATAGAAATCTTACTTTATAACTGCCCCACAGTTACCAGATCTTAATCTGATAGAAAACCTGTGGGCAAAACTGGAGGTAGAAATTAGAAAACATGAAATTTCTAGCAATGAATACTTAAAAAACGTCTCCTCCAAGAATGGAACAGGCTAAGCCCGAAATCACCAACAAATTGGTAGACTCCATTACAAACAGACTGAAAGGAGTGGTAGAAAATAATGGCTAGCTTACAAAGTTTTGAACTAAATTAATAGTATTTAAAATTTAATAAGAAGTGATATGTATCATTTTAATTGTGAGGTAAAATTATCTAGTTTTTATTTATTTTTTTTAAATAATCAAAGTTAAATATTTAAATTTTATTGAGTTTGTACAAATTTAAAATGAGGGTATAAATAAATCTGTTGAACATTTTCTGGTTTTATTTGTATACTGTAACCATTTAAGGCTTTT